TTTTCACTGATATCAGGTTTTGGCTACTTACTGAACTTCGGTTAGTGAAATTTTCAATCCTTCTCGTGGTATGCATGTGATTATAACGCTTTGTTTGAAGAAGAGTTTTCTTATCAGACAGTCTTTGAGTCTATTCGGAGAACCAGCTCCGAACTTAACGGGACTACATAACTGCCAATGGAATAACCGTTTTTCGTTGAGACATATTTGATTGATTGTTCTTCACTCGCTCTTGACGGATGAGTTGTAATCTTGGTATCACTTTTTTTTACCCCCTTGTACGCGACAGTGATCAACAGATCAGCCGGTTCGCATGTATATTGGCCAAGCGCACCAGGCGATCAAGCGGCTATCCAGACGGGGGTTCAGGGTAATAAGAAGGCAATAAGGAACTTTGGTCCACAACATAGTCGGTATCGTCTCTTCTGGAAATCCAGCTATTTGGTCATCCGGTGAGCATTCACTTTGGCGCAGCAACCCAAATTGACATACTGGGGCTTCCTTGTCAAGAGGTATTGATTGCTTGTGTCAACAGATTGAAGGAAGTCGTTGAGAAATTTAAACAAGTTGACAGACCAACTGAGAATTCATCACTTTCCCCATTTTTATGAATGGTCTGATATACATCAGTTTAGTCGCAGGATATGAGTCTTGGAGATAAGTGACCAGTGTGGCCTGAAAATGACCGTCACTCTGCAAGAAGATTGGTGATTTGTGCACGCTTGTGAATCACGCAACTGGATGCTTTAGACTGTGTGCATTCTTTAGGGTAATCTACGATGCATAGAGGTCTGGTGAGACACCTTGTCTTCACCTCACGAAAAGGATTGTCTGGAGCAGTGGAGGCAAATGGTATCACCATCAGTCAGACCAACCTAAAAAAACAATTCATTTTAGCCGAGAGACTGATAGGACTTCAAAGGATAGCTGTACCGTTGAAATTGAAACCCAGTGAGAATGGCTCAACTACTTCAAGCAAGTACACAGAAAGTTTGCGTTATTCGTATGGCTTGAGGAATGTCACTGCAAGCATACAGATGAATAATCGAGGGTAGGGATCGGCACCATACCGTACGGCAACAAGAACAGTGATAACGAGTCGGTCAGTCGGCACTTCAGAATCTGGTCCAAAGTGCCATGAGGAAGCTCATAATCAATACTATTATCGACTGTCGGCAGAAAACGAGTTGCACACAGCTTCCGGCTGTCGCAGTGCGAGATAAAGTGGAAAAAGATGTCTTTGCTGACGGATACAGTTCAGGAGTAGCAGTGAGCGCTTCTTTGGTAAGGAGATCAAAAAGGAGAGCGGTGTACTTGAAGGCGAGAAGCTGGACCCACCCGCATTAATATGTGATTGGCCAAGCTAGGTAAAACGGTCCCAAAGTTACTCAAGTCTTGTCTCGAGACAGTCATTGTGCAGCTAATCTTCTTCGCCATTACTTTCACATTCACTATCAACTAGTCTCAAGAGTAGTGCACGATCCAACAAGCACAACCTGTCAGAAACACCAATGTGTATTCGTTAGTTACCTGAATGCTATTCACTCAGCATGGACACTATACTTCAGCAATATTTCGAAGGAAAACGGGGTCAAATGTTATAATTTTTTCAATTCATTATCGCGGATTTGTGCAGAACACTTGAAAACGAGTTGATGTTACCTCCTGGCCGCGGAAGTCAAAGGATGACAAAAGCGCCTGTCGACTTTCTTATGCGGATGGTGATAGCATTTTTCAATGGACTACCAGGTAAAAAAAATTAGTCCAACACTCCGAAGGTATCAGCGTGAAGTTCGGATTTTCAGCAGCACCCAGCTTCTGGGTGGGGTATGCTCTCCATGCTCTTTATTAAAACACCCCTGAAGCACCTCGAACAAGATCATTCCATGAACATATCAACGACAGAGTTGGATAATCCTTTCTAAAATTATGATACTCAGGCAAGAATCTATCGTAGAACCTCGAAAATTGACAGGACTCGGTGTACAAAGCTTTAGAGAAGCTTAGTAATATAAGACAAACTTTTGTGTCCATTTAACACAATGTTTTGACTCCGGTGGGTTCATGGTTGATACTGAGCCGTGAAATCGATAAATCTTGATGATACCTAAATGGCCAGAGAAGTTGGCTTCACAATCAACCATGATTCACAAAGGTAGGTAAAGTTAACGGAGCCTTCAAGGGTAGTGATTGCTGTTGTTGCTTAGGCCATCAATGCTGGACCAGAATCTGTTACAAAGCAAATGTCTCATCTGAACACCCTCTTGCAGGACCTGAAATGGCTACGTTTTCATGGATCTGGTTCCAGTGCCACTAGGCTTCCAGATTAATGATGTCCTCACAGAGTCTTCCTACAAATTTCGAAGATCAAGACAATCATTGAGATATCTCTGTCTGAAAACGATTCTTCTGGGTTCATTTAGTATGACTGTTTGTCATGATAATATCCAAAGATTTATGTCCTTCTTTAAAGAAACCGTTCATGACTGGTCGTTCACCCTTGCGCTGGATTCAACAAAGTTTCTAAGGACGGGCAGTTGGGTTTCGCATTGCATTCAACCATGTTCACTGTTGAAAAATGACAGCCAGGGGTGCTCCAACCACTTACCGATCGGCGACTACTAAATGACTTATGGGTCCCGAATGCGAACAGAAGAGATATATTCTGCAAAAGGAGATCTTTTCTAGCTTATATGAAACGGTAAATCATAACCGATCTAGAGTGGGAACTAATAAGACAGGGTGTGCTCGAATTTCGATCGTCATTTGACGAGCGAGAACATTCAGGGTACGTGATACGGCGTCTCTTGGTTTCTGGTAGATAGTCGTTTTCAATTTCCCACCACGCTTATGTGTTATACAGTCCAGAGGGGGTAATGTGCCCGAGGTGGACTCTATTTCCATGCTAAACTTGATGTATGGATTTAAACTATTGAGATAGTCGTGAAAGCTGTTCACGTTGTCTCGTTTGATGACAACAAAGGTGTCGTCAACATAACTTCAAAAAGCTTTCCGTGTTCACTGATATCCGGTCAAGACCATTTGTTCGAAGTCCTGTGTATAAATACTAGCTAAGACTGGGGATATTGGTGATGCAAGTCCTTGTTCTTGTGAGTAAGTAGTTGTGTCAAAAACAAACTGATCGGGATTCAAACACACTCTTATACCCTCAACTATTTCATCCAGCGAGAGCTGTGTCTGTTCCTCGAGTGTCGTGTCTGCCAGTAACAACCTCTTACTTACCTCCAGAGCACCTGCTCTAGGGATGTTTGTGTACATTGAGATTATGTAAAAACTCATGAGAACTTCGTCCATCTCCAAATGAAGCCTTTTGACCTTACCGGCAAAGTCGTACGAATTCCTAATGAAGGTGCTTGATTTCCCCGTGATTCCGTAAACAGCCCTTTGTGGACCAAACAGTACTCATACGGTTTTTCGAAAAATTGTCAGGCTACTTGTGAGTAGTGTGTATGTGAAAAACACTGTCGTATTGAAGGTCGCCCCATCACAAACATGGGGCGACCGCAGTACAACACATGACGTTGAAGAATACGTTAACGGGAGATTTAGTGGAGGCTAATTTGCCTCCGGCTTTATAAAAAAATTGGTTTACGGTGTATTATATTTCGCGAAGCAACGATTGTATAATTCGAACCAAACGACCATAAGATTAACAGCCACAGGTGCTCGGAACTAGATGTGGAGGGGGTCAGTTGGCTAATTTTGCCCCATAAATTTAGTACGCGTTCCGCGTAAATTTGATGACATTTTGTGACAGACATATGAAACCGCGCCGCTAAATACGTGCAACGGTTGGTAGAAAACTCAATTTCTAAATTTCCAGTATAGTATTCTTGAATTGAACCCAAATGTATCCAGCAGAGAAAGGCCGATATTACTGAGAGTCGAAATGAAAAGTATGACTGCTGCAATCTTGGCTGGATTGCTTTGTTCCAGCTAAGCAGCAAACCAAAACCTCGAGATTCTTTTCGATTGGAACGAACGATGATATTAAAGTATCTTGCAGACTAAAATGTGCACTTTGTACAAAATAAGTGATTGAGATTTTGAACGTTTGAAAACCAAGACTGAAAATAGAATAAATAAGTTCAAATTTAATTGGGAATTGAAACAGCGATATAAATCCCAGACGATCCAGAAGAACTGCCTTGTATTTGGATAACATGAGGAAGAATGATGAAACTAATTTTAGGCTTTGTCTGAGCGGAGAACCTCTCGTGACCTTCGTGAAATTTAGTTAGGCGTTGAATACCAATCAGGAACACCATATAGAAAAGACATGACAGTTTCCAATTTTAGGCTGCTTGTGGATTAGAATTTATTGGTTACTCTGTGAAATCAACTCGGGATGAATGGCAACACATTACTGTCTACGGAAAAGTTTCCCGAGAACATCCGATCGTTACGTTACTATAAATTCCCAAAATGGTCCCTTTCAAAAATGTGCAGGGCTTGCTGACAAATCGGGAGAAACTCATGATGAAACTTATGATAGGTCAGATGATGCAAAAACAAATAAATGTTTGAGAATGAATAAAATTCAATTCATTTTACCCATACCTCCTTTTAACAGCCTTAAAAAGGAGAACCCACATACCCTGGGACAATTTTATCTGTCCCTAAATGTATTTCGCAATCTCACATCACATAACATACGTTCCGTGAGTATCAGGTTGGAATCGGACAGCAAAAAATACACTGGATAAAAAAGATTGAAAGTTTTCCTATTGTGAGTTGTGAGCTTCGCTCAAATTGTGAATCATACTTTTCCAGGTATTAAAAAGCAGTCAAATCAGCCGTTACCTCGTGACCTTCAACGGACCAATCAGCTTTCAGTCGTTTGATTAACCAGCCAATCAGGGAAGCATCAATTTGGGATTGAGGCTTTGTCCATATATAGATAATTTTCAACATACTTAGCTAGTTGTTCATTCGTCAGGATTCGCAAAAACAGTTTCCGCACACACAAAAAATAACGAATGAATCAAAGTGATAGAACGCCTTGTGTTCGAAACATTCTGATCGGTAACGTACTGGGCACGATTGGAATATTGAACCTGATTATTGGTCTGATGGGAATTTCCATTTGGACAGTCTACCTACTGAGTAAGAATAATTCCAGAAAGTCGCCACAGGGACAAACCGCTCGATTAATCAATGGTGCGGCAGAAACTGCCACGGAAGACACAGAAGAACATGTGAAAACTGGTTGGCCTACTTGTGCACTGAGGCCATCATCAAAGTTATTTCTACTGTGTATTTTTATGTCAGATCTACTAGGGCTCTGTACGAGTAACTTTCGCTTCACCGTCCTCTGTTTGGTGGGAAAAGACGTGCGACTGATGTGCGGCGAGTGGTGTTGTCGAGTGCAACTTGTGTTGGCCTACAATGCCGGTGACCTTTCAGCTTGGTTCGCAGCCATTGTCTGTGCCGAACGTTTCCTGATCATGCTTCTGCCCACATCAACCTACACGCGAAATTTTTCAAGGATCTTCCCTGCCCTCATAATCTCTGTTTCCATGGCTCTGCTCACATTCCTAACCAACTTATTTCTTCTTATTCCAAGTGAGCCAGTATGTAACGGTTCGTACACAAATTTCTCGATAATCGTATTCAAAATGATCTACGCTTCTGTACTTCCATTTGTGATTGTTAGCGTCTCCACGACCGGCTCAACTGTTATCCTATTGCGTCACTGGCATGGCACACGAAAGAAGAACCAAAACCGCAAGTCGAAAATGGTCACCAAGGGCATGATGGCTTCACAGTTGATGTTGGTCACGGGAATAATTTTCCTTGCTGGAACGTTACCTGTGTTTGTGAACAACTTGGTAAATCCTTATTGCTGCATTCTGACCGCACCGACAAATTGCACGTTGGCCGATTATCGATTTAATGCCATATGTTTGGCGTATTGGACAACTGTGTGTTTACGCACCTATTTGTTGATCATGATCTCTGGACAAACACGCCAAGATATCAAACAGCTGATAAGTCAGATTTGTAGTCACGTGATCCAGCGGCTTCACTGAGTACTGATACTTGGGAAATCAATGAAAGAACCTCCTCTCAGGAATAAAATTCTCAGTTGTGTGCGATTTGCATGCGTTTGGGAGAATGCAACATACTTTTAGTGGACAGGTAATACCTTTGTACCTTTTCACGAAATACTGAGCATTTATCTAAGCTTTGACCCGGATTTTTTAGTTTTTGTCGTATAAATTTTTTCCTACTAACTCTCAGTTTACTTTCATGGATGGACTTACAAAGCTTTCATTCAGTTGTCTTGAGAAAAGAGCCGAAAAAATGAGTGAACGGAATTTCTGGTTTTGGTAGGTATCTCCTAAAAGTGTCTAACCGAACCGAAGTGTGTAGCGTTAAGAGGTGAACGTCTACGCTGATTAGCCATTCCACATGTCACGAAGTAAGGTACCACCCAACCTGCATTTCTTTTAATGTGATATAAACCCGGTCGGTAGAAGTTACGCTCCATTATACCGAGACCAGAAAGGAAATTACCAGAAAACGCATCAATCTAATATCCGAGTGTACTCTGCACCAAACAGTCTTGCGAGTTGCACAAATCGTTCGATAAATTTGAACCCTGAAAAACAGCTGCACACTAGAAAATCGAAAAATTACATCTAAAGAGTGTATTTTGTGCCTTCAGTTTACCTTGGCCCCGCATCGTTGACAATTTCCAACGTCACTGCTTACAAAAAACACTGATTTCATTCGGAAACACTAATGCAAGTTTTTGAAACCCCAAAAGCTCTTTACTTTTGTACAGGCGTTGAGCATTCACTCTGATTCGACGCCTTTCAGTCTGAGGGTAATGATCCCAACAAGAGGCGTCCAACCACTTATTTCGGACAAAACCTCCAAAAGAGGTTGCAGTGAAGTTGTTTTTCTAAAGATGTCAGCATTGCTGCCTGAAAGACCAAGATAGAATACAATTTTCATCAATTAATGATTCTTTTTTTAAGTCAACGGGTAGAGCTTAATTTGTACACCACCCTGCTTCCTGTTCGACTGGATTAGCAAGTGTTTATGCATAAGGATATCAACCGTACACCTGTCAAATGCATGAGGATAAGCTGGTTCGTTGTGAGACACTAGAGGGGGTCAATTATTACCGTCAACAAATTTTGGGGCATAGGCTTGTGACAGCACACTCTGATGAGTCGGTTCGAATCAAACGTGACATTTTCAGTAAGCACTTTTAACCCGTCTTAAAACACGAAGACAGACGTTCATGTATACCCCCACGTTCCACCTTATCGAAACCGTTATCAAACCAGAGTGGTTAGTTTAGCAAAAATTGCCTGAAATAGGGGACATTAATGAAAAATGCACAGAAAATGAGTCAGTTGAACCGGAGACGTAATCCTAGGAGGAAGTCAAAAATGGCGAAAAAGAAGTTCTTTAGTTTGAAAGTGTGTACCTAATTCCCTTTTGAACAAACAACACTCATGAGAGAAGATTCTGCTAACAGTCTTTGGAGGGGAGGGGCGGTCTCCGTTCCAGACAGCACCCTCTTTAAACTAAAGCCCATATTTTTAACCTCCAGTGATACCGAAATAAAGCTCGTTTTCTGACATGGTGCTTGTCTTTCAGAACGCTCAAAGCGGGACGAACAACCCAGTCATGAAGACCGGCTTTTATCGTCCAAGGGGAAGATCACGAAGAAGATAAAGTTGGCAAAGACTGCGTTAGAAAGCCTCAAACTCTCTCTCAAGCTTGTGCACCTCTCACCAGGCCGTTATACCACTGAGGAACAACCCTTGTATAAAGCCCGTCCAAGATTATATTCGGTGCATGTATTATTCGTAATAATCGTTTACTGGGTTGGGAAACTAATCTGCATCGGTTGGAATCCCAAAAACTAAAATATTGTTTGAAATTCTGTGTTTTCTTCTAGAGGAAGGTAATGCGTTGGCAAAATTCACACGAATGCCAATCTCACCAAAAAATAGAAGTTCGTCATCAACAGTGCGGTCAGCATCGGCGAAGAAGAGTGATGTATCCGATGAAATGTTAGAACAAAAATATCGAGAAAGCGGCCTTACTTTGGCCGCTTTCTCCTGACTGAATCTCCATACTGAACCGTACGGCAAAATGCGATGAGCTACAATATTTTGAAATCCATATATTTGAGTTGAATGTGAAACAAATGTGGTACATGGGTGAACTTTGAACTTTTTGCTGATTTTCTCGTATTTGAGAGTATCATTAGATGATTAAAATATCAACTAATTTTCGCACCCCAGTCACCGTTCTCACCTGGAACCCAGTTGAATCTCCCATTTGTGATGTTTCCAGGCAACGGAGTGGGCTGCATCAGGCCGCCTCATGTTTCAGTCGCTACGATATTCGAGATATCGCGATACATGTATATCTTTGTAATGTATTACTCATAAGGTTGCTGAAAATTCGTCGACAGCCCACGACCGGTTTCGCCCTTTTTGGGGCTCATCAGGTAGGCGCTGTCCCCGGGTTTCCGTCAACCTTATGTTCTACTTGAAACCAAATTGCACGAAATTAGCGAATATACACTCATTTGCAAACTAATTTGATTTTTTGAGAGACTCACCTGGAACCCAGTTGAATCTCCCATTTGTGATGTTTCCAGGCTGCACCAGGCCGCCTCATGTTTCAGTCGTTACTGGAATAGCTACCTCAGGGGAGTGAAAGAGGATATGAGGCCACCTACCAAAAAAACACATTTCGGCAGTAACACATTATGCGGCACAATACGTTGATGTGTTCATCACGTGATGTCAGGTGGATCTAGTTTTGTGAGTTGTCGCGGTTGTACCAGCGGAGGACCGGGGCTATCGAATAAAGCGCTCGACAGAGATGCCTACGCGCACGAAACCGGTGGTTACTGTGGTACTAGTGTAACGGTGATACTACTGATGGGGAGGCATGCGAGTAGTATGTTTTGTTTTTGTAAATTCGGTTTGCGTCTCTTGAAAAGGGAGATGTGTTGCGGAATTTGCGAGTCGCTTCGTAGCATTTGCTTGATTTGAGCGAGAATAATTTGGAGTCAATGAATATCCAGAAAAGTTCAAGAAGACGCGTTCAGGAGAAGATGGATGTTCAGGTTTTGTAAATAAGATGCAAATGAGAGTTTTGATTCCCTGTCCCATAGTCTGTAACTGGTCAGTTGGCATTTTCTAATGAATAACTCCGCAGCAAAGGCCTTCTTCCTTTCAGTAGTAGTAGTCTGAGCAACTCACCATGCAGGTTTTGTGTCTCAAAATAGAAGGATCGAATTTCGTCTCCCCGGGAAATGCCTAGGAACAATTCATGTGGACCTGTTGAGATACACACGCTGTGATGCTTCGAGGGTGCCCAGTGTTTTGGTGATGGACTGAGTTGTGCTCTTTACGGAGATACACACGCTGTGATGCTTCGAGGGTGTCCAGAGTTTTGGTGACGGACTAAGTTGTCCTCTTTATGAACGAGTATTTCTGAGTTCTACTAGCCTCCACAATGAAGCTGAGCCGTTTATTGCTCACATTTGCCATACGGCCAGAAGGAATTCTAAGTTACAGGATACTGTCGATATTCCACGTAGTTTCATCTGAGGTGTGGCACGTTAGAGCTGTTCATCTAACTTCTTTTCAACAATATCGCTTTTTAAGCTGTCGCCTCTGGCAGCCCGTGTTTATACTTAATTGGATATTCAACGTCACCAACTATATAAACAGAAGCATATGAATTTATCTCCAATGGATCTATCTGTGGTTTTCAGTGAAAATTTGGCCACAAATGCTGAAGTTTCAAGCACAATTACCGGATCAAAATGTGTATATTCTGTATTAGGCAGAGAGGGGTTTTGCCACAAACGGAAAGGTCACACCCTGTCTGCTTCATCCAAGTTTACTAAAGCATTTTCCCATGGTCACAAAACAGCAGGACACTCGTCCAGAAAAGTGCACTCCCAAACCCCAGTCACATCAGAACCTAAACTGATTGTTCCTCCAGTCAGATAGTCTAAACTGAAATGTAGGTAGCATTTCGTAAACTCCAAGGATACGTCGCTTGCTTGGTTGCAGTAATAACACTAATCGATCAGCCATAGTGCGTTTTCGGTACCTAGCTGCCATGTCACCCGAAGCAGGGCTCAGATGTTGTCAGTTTGTCCAAGCTCGGACACGACAGTCGAGATGCGCGGGTTGGATTCGAACCACGGACCTTGTGGTTTGCGCCTTAACCACTGAGCTAGCTCAGGTTTATAAGATCAGAGTAATTTATTGTTACTGTAGTAAGTTACTGTAATAAAACCGCAGTAATTGTTTCATATGAAGTACTATCATGCAAAGACTTCCCCTTCACCGAACGTTATGAGGATCTTAGAAAATGACCAATTCGAGTCAAACCCTGCATAGACCGTTCGTTTACACACAGTAAGTATTTTCTTCATGTTTTTTTGGCTTCAGGCTTCGTAATACTTTTATGTAAGGATTAAACCGGCCCCATGAAGGAAACTACTCACAAGCTTGCTGAAAACTCTTCAACAGCCCATGACCGGTTTCGCCCTTCCACTTCGGGCTCATCAAGTAGGCGCAGTCCCCGAGTTTCCGTCAAACTCATGTTCTACTTGAACCCAAATTGGACTGTTTTCGAGAAATACACTCATTTGCAAGTCAATTTGGTTTTCAGTTTTGCGGAAGACACCGGTGTCTGTGAGAATTGTATCAGCTCTCCTGTTACACAATATGCTTTCTTACGGCGCTGAGAAAACTTCCGGGAGCTAGATAGACTCTAGTTCCTTCAATGGTAAACGAAACCATCAAACAGCCAGTTACACTTTCGTTGGAACCAAGATATTACTAACTTAGGACTGTAATCATTGCTGTATCAGATAGGCTTGAATATTAGTAGAGGATCGGAGTCTGGTCATGTAGCAAGAAGTGATCGGAATGTGTAAGGTTAAGAAACTTGCCAGCATAGCATGGATACTATTGATTAGGCAAGCGAGTAGTATGTGGTTTTCTCGTGACTGACTTGATTTAATGGAAAG